ACTTGTCTAACTTCTTTTATTCAAATGATCCGCACGCAATTTAATTGTCCCATCAAGCATATTCGTTCTGATAATGGTCAAGAATTCCTCTCTCACCGTATGCAAAAATTTTTTCTTACCCATGGCATTATTCATGAACGTACTTGTGTTGAGACACCACAACAAAATGGTGTCGCTGAACGAAAGCATCGCCACTTGTTAAATGTGGCTCGGTGTCTTCGTTTTCATGCACATTTACCAATTTCTTTCTGGGGTGAATGCATTCTTACTGCTACTTATTTGATTAACCGCATACCAACCCCTTCCCTCAATGACAAAACACCTTATGACCTCCTTTTCAACAAATCCCCTACCTATGATCACCTTCGTGTTTTTGGGTGTCTTTGCTATGCGCGCACCTTAACCACTCATCGGGACAAATTTTCTCCTCGTGGCACATCATGCATATTCTTAGGCTACTCCCAGACTCCACACACCTATCGTGTTTATGACTTACAAACCAAGAAGATATTTTTCTCTCGTGATGTCCATTTTGTAGAATCTACTTTTCCATTTGCTACTACCATGCCACCCCCTGACGCCTCTTTACCACACACCTCGCAAGAGGACCCATCATTCCTCGATTTCACCTTGCATCCGACTCCTGCTACACATGACACTCCACTTTCCCCTCCCCAAGTACCATCTCTTCCTGACATTGAATCCTCCTCACCAACACCAGCAGATGATGTTAGGCCAACAAACGACCCAGAACCCGTTACTCTTCCACCTCCCTCCTCTAGACCTCGCCGTACAATCACTCGGCCCGCATATCTTCAGGATTATATTTGCTCAGATCTACCTCCAGAGGACCCACGTTCATCAACCCATTCCCAGCATTTCTCAGGTACGGTCCATTCTTTACCTAATTTTCTCTCTTATCGTTTCTTTAGTCCACAACATTTTGCTTTTCTCTCTTCTGTCTCTAAAAATGTTCAGGATCCTCTCCATTACTCTCAAGCCATTCTTGAGCCTCATTGGCAGAAGGCCATGGCCTCTGAACTTCAAGCCCTCAAGGCTAATCACACATGGACTCTTGAGCATCTTCCTCCTGGTAAGAAGGCTATTGGTTGCAAGTGGGTTTATAAAACAAAATTGCATGCAGATGGTTCCATTGAATGTCATAAAGCTCGTTTAGTTGCCAAGGGATTTACTCAGGTAGAAGGGCTTGACTATACTGACACATTTGCTCCCGTAGCTAAACTTGTTACTGTTCGTTGTCTCCTTGCTATTGCTGCGGCCAAACATTGGATTATTCAGCAGTTAGATGTTCACAATGCCTTCCTCCATGGTGACCTTGATGAGGAAGTATTTATGCGACCACCGCCAGGATATTGCCCTCAGGGGGAGACACGCGTCTTTCGTCTCCACAAATCTTTATATGGTCTCAAACAAGCCCCGTCAATGGTTCTCGAAGTTGTCTCATACTCTCATTCTTGCTGGTTTTCATCAATCTGCATCTGATCATAGTCTTTTCACTCAGACTAAGGGTCCAATGTTTACAGCTGTTCTCATATATGTTGATGATATTCTAGTAGCTGGCAATGACATCTCTGCCATCAACTCTGTCAAACAGCGTCTTGCTCAGACATTCAAAATCAAAGACCTTGGTGATCTCAAATATTTTCTAGGGATTGAAGTTGCTCGATCACCTAAGGGCATATTCATCAATCAAAGAAAATATATTCTGGACATTCTCTCGGATTCTGGTCAACTCAGCTCTCGTCCTGCCCGTTTTCCCATGGAACAACATTGTAAGCTTACTGACTCGGATGGTGACCTTATGGATGATCCTGGCTCATATCAATGACTGGTTGGTCGTCTGATCTATTTGACCATCTCTCGTTCGGACATTGCTTTTACTGTCAACATTTTGAGTGTTAAGTACGTGTGAGGAGCGGTCCCTCATCTTCATGCTGCTCACCGTTTACTCCGATATTTGAAAACTACTCCTGGTTATGGTCTCTTCTTCTCATCCTCTTGTAGTTTTCAGATATCTGCTTTCTGTGACTCTGATTGGGCTAGTTGTCCACTCACACGACGTTCCACTATTGGTTTCATCATCAAGTTGGGTGATAGTCCCCTCTCCTGGCGCACTAAGAAACAAACTACTGTCTCTCGTTCTTCTGCTGAAGCTGAATATCGTGCAATGCCCACTACAACCTGTGAACTTGTTTGGCTTCGTCTCCTTCTACAGGAACTTACTGTGCCACATCCCCAGCCTATCCTGCTCTATTGTGACAATCAGGCTGCTCTCCATATCGCTCGTAACCCAGTTTTCCATGAACGAACCAAACACATTGAATTGGATTGTCATCTTGTTCGTGAGAAGATTAAGTCTGGTCTCATCACTACCTCCTACGTTCCAACATCTCAGCAACAAGCTGACATCTTTACTAAGCCCTTGGGTTGTGAGTTATTTGTCTTCTATCGGTCCAAGTTGGGCATTACGGATCTCCATTCTCCAACTTGAGGGGGATTATTACAGCAATCAAATATTTCATATTACAGCAATCAAGGAATACAATCACAGAAATATTTTATTTCCTTTTACACCTTATTTCCATATTTCATTTACCATGTTTAGAATAGATTTGTACATATAAAAGTATATCACTATCATTGTAATTGACGTGAGTTAAACATAAAGGAATTCACCTTCTTTTCTGCTGTGCATTAGTTTTATTACTTTTTGTCGTACGTCACACTATTTCCGCTATCCTGTCTCTCTCATAGTCGCGCGTCACGTCGTCGCTTTCCCGCCTCCAAGCATAGAGAAGCCACACAAATGTGTGGCACTAATTTGAGTGCCACAGCAGTGATCACAATGTCGCTAGCTCAGCCGATGTTTTTGTTTTTATTTTTGTTTTAGATTGTGAGGTGGCAGCGATAATGTGGCGGTGTCGGCTTTTTGGTTTTTGTTTTTGTTTGTGAGTTTCAAATTGTGAGATTGTGTTGGTAGTATTATCGATGTGGCGGTGAGGTGGTACGTACTTTTCGATTTTTGTTTCTTATTATGAATTTCAGATTGTGAGGTGGCGGTTGCGGTGTTGGCTTTTTGGGGTTCTTTTATATTTCTGCTTGTTACAAATTGTAAGGCGGTGTCGATGTTAGTATCGATATTGGCGGTGGCGATGGTGAGGTGGTTGTTGGGTGGTAGTTGTGATGGTGGCTACGATGGTTATATCGGTGGTGCGGTGATTGGAGTGGAGTGGGGTTTATGTCCAATTATTTGAGACTGTGGTCAATAAATTGAATATTTTGCCCCCGTTTGGCACCCATTAATTTCTCATTCTCATTCCCATTCTCATTCTCATTCTTCATTTCAACCACACATTCTCCAAATAAAATACTATTACACACAAATCAAAAACTTTTCATTACTTTNCATTCTCCAAATAAAATACTATTACACACAAATCAAAAACTTTTCATTACTTTTCCACCACACATTCTCACATCAATCGCTATTCCAAAATTTCTATTCTCCTCAAAATTAGATTCAAACACACCCTTTTAAACAATGTGATAAATAACATGTGACCAATAAATAATATGTGATCAAAAAATTTGAGTCATAACTTATAAAATTTGTGATTTGTGATCGATAATTTTTTTGATTTTTGATTGATGAATAAATCGTAACTTATAATTTTTTTATATATAAATGTAAAATAATTTGTGACCTATAAAATTTTTGATTCGTGATCAAAAAAAATTCGTGGCCAATTAATTTGATAATTTGTAACCAAATACTATAGAAGTGTATATTTTATTAATTAAATAAAATTTATTTCTAATTAATTATTTCATAAATATACTTTATTTAATATCTGATTTTTGAAATTTTAAATATTATTTCTTAGTTTTGAAATGAACAATATTTAATCTCTTAAATATGAAATTTTCTCTTTGTGAAAGTACTTGTTCTAGTTAGAAGAGCCTTTAGAAGTAGTTGGTTTAATGTCATTTTCTCTAAAATTACTTATAGAATAGGAAGCTCTTTTTAAAATGAAGTTAGTTTCTTTTAAAAGTTCTTCTACAAAAAATAAAAGTAAAAGCAAATAGCAAGAGAGATGTCAAACGGACCTAACTAAACTAAAACAACCTATGCCTCATAAGTTTTAGATATGTTTATATCTTTGTACGGCCGAACTAGACGTAACTGGTTTGACAACGAATGAAGACCATAGGCGAAGCCCTTGAAATAAGCAAGGAGACTTCCTAAAATAAGGTATTGAATCTAGAGGTTATCCTATTTTCATTCTTAACCAATTCTTCCTCAGTCAAATTCTTATTTTTCCACCATTAGTGTATCATTCTCAATCTCAAACAAGTTGTAAATTTTCCGTTCTCGCAAAATCGAAATGGAGTCTCATGATCGTTATAGGTTTCTTTTCATCGTCTTATTCTTCTATTTAGTCCTGCACGCACATGCGTACCGCAATGTAATCGACATGACACTATCCCCGAATATGGCCCCAAACTTGCAACCATTGTCCTCTTCAAGCCTTGCGTCGGCTCCAAGCACAAACTCTCCAAACTTGCAACCAGTGTCCTCTCCGAGCCTTGTGTCGGCTCCAAGCACAAACTCTCCAAACTTGCAACCAGTGTCCTCTCCGAGCCTTGCGTCGGCTCCAAACACAAATTCTCCAAACTTGCCACCCGTGTCCTCTCCGAGCCCCGATGCGGTTCCAACCGTAAACCCTCCTTTGAATTATGTCTCGTTCCCTCCATCGGGATCCAATGGCCCATCGAGCGAAGTCGAGGCATCAGCGCCTGATTCATCATCAAGCTTCATACGGAAAAATATCGATCCTAAGGTCCAAAAAATTTGTGATTCAACTGACCACCCTTCTCTTTGTCTTGCCACTGTTGTACCCCTCTTAGATGACAACATTGATTCATTTTCTGTTCTTAAGGTTTCAATTAAAGCTTGCTCCGAATTAACAAAGATTACAATGTCCATGGCGAAAAAATTTTCCAACATGCCCGGAGTTCCTCCTCGAGTAGCCTCCATTGCTCGTGATTGTAAAGATAGTTACGACGAAGCTATGTCCAATTTTGAGAAAGCGATGAATGCTTTGCCGGAACGTGATTTCGGAACCGTGAATATCATGCTCAGTGCCGTGATCACAGATATGGGAGACTGTGAGGATGGACTCTCCAGTACAAGGTCGATTTTTCCAATATCAGATTATGCTGAGAAGTTGACTAACATGACTAGCAATTGTCTTGCCATTGCTTCCCTCATCCAAGATTGATCAACCCACTTCATGTAATTGCAGGATGGTGTCTAAATTTGTATTTGTTCTTTGTTTAGTTTATGCATGTAATTTTGAACTGTTCTCATTAGCGTGAGAACATCAAGACACTTGTAGGAAATAAGTACTGTAATAATTGTTTGTATTAACCGTTTATCGAAATGCTAAAATAGGGAATACAATCCTGTCTGAAACTTTGCCCTTAGGAAAAGTGTTTTTAAGATCTTTACATAGTTTTCTAGCATACATTGTTTTTCTTTCTATACAATATTTCACTCAAGTCGAAAAGAAAAAGTTACATATACGCGTCCATGTTTTGATATTACAATGAAATAAGATACAAACCGAAATAACTCGATTAATTAATCAGATTACAGAATTTTGCCTTCGATACACAATTTGGAGTATATACCCCTCCCACTTCTACAGCAACTAACTCCTATTTACCATTGTTTACGACCCATCCATGAAGACAGACCCATACCCATTAGCTTTCATAAACTTCTTCAAAAGAAGAACGATGATGGCCACGGTAAGCCCAACAGCAGCACACGTGAAGAAGCGGTCATCTGCCCTCTTGGAATGTCCAGCTTCTGGCTTATGCAACAGCTGCTGCTCAGTAGCGTACACAACAGAAACAGGTTCTGATGTCTGAACAGAATTTCCATGTGAAGATGTTTCATTTAGTTCTTCAACGGTACCATCATCTACTGCTGGATTTGGAAGCACTTCCTCAGTGATCTCGGGAGAGGAGCTTCGAGCACTCCCCTGACTTTCACACTCTTTGTTGTCATTTGGAACTTCAGAAGCCTTTGTAGTGTTTTCTTGAGGAACTGCAGGTGCCCTGCTTAGCATATATTCGTGAATCTGTACAAACAAATGATAAGTATTGAGGTCGCATACATTGTATAAATTCAAGAAAAGCAGGACATGACAAACCTCGTCAATAAGCCTTTGGCGTTCAGAAGAACCAAACTTTGGGCCAGCTTCACGAGATTTAATTGCTAAAGACCGCCTTTCTTCCTTTGAATAGTCTAATGATCCCAGTGCACCGTTTGGGTTGGTGGGCAGAAATGCAATTAGTGCTACTAAAGCAGTTCGAACTGCCAAAATCATCCATATTGATGTGTTACAAATTTTTTATCATATAGAAAATAAAAATAGGGGTATTCAGGGGGCAATTATCACTTATTAGCAAAGATCATGGTAAAATATATGCTCCATTATAGTACTTGATGTTAAATCCGACCATGTCTTATTTTTTCTCTCCGTCCCTTATTCTTGTAAAATTACAGATCACCTATCCATCTCTCTCTTGAAATTGAGTAACTTTGCAGGTTTATGTAGAAACTGCGAAATAGTATTCAATACTGTGAGAATCAAATGTCTCTTACACATTGCTTGAAAATTCTTACGTACTCATGGAAGGACATTGGCCGCATTAAAACTATAATTCATTTTTCTCTCTCTTCTTATCAACCGCACATTCTCCAATAAAATAATATTACACGTAAACCAAAACTTTTTCTTCTTCTTTTTTTTTTGATAGGAACTTTTTCTTCTTTTTTAACCAGGCATTCTTAAAAAAAATACTAGTCCAAAAATTAAAATGGAAAATAATGAAGGCCAAACAGGGGCTAAATATATTCTGTTAGATGACATGTTTGAGAGTGTTGTTTATGCAAAAAGGTACAATATATCCAAAGTACACTCATCTGATATTGAATGCTCATTTAAATTACAATTCTCTTTTAACATTTAGTATAATTTCTTTTAGGAGCTTTGAAGATGCTATAAATGCATATGGATTATCATACAAAAGACATAAACGTAATTAAATACAACTCGTAATAAGATATTATCTCTTAATGAGCTAGAATCACTGGAAAGATGGAAATAGCTTGAGAAGAAAAATTACCACTCCAGGATGGTTGCCAGTGCTCAGGATGATGATTTGAAATGCTCAAGCATACCTTGGTTTGAGTTTCAAATCGACCATTTGGCTGTAAGGGGAAATCCAAATTAGATTAGAAAATCTCTGTCAACACCAAGTAAAATTCCACAGTAAATCTTAAAAGGAGTAAACTATACTCTTTTACTTCATTACGTATCCTCATTGAAATTCCAAGCAACTCAAACATTGAGCTACTAGAGGAGAACTGGAGCATTACCGTTAACAGCATAAACGAAGGAGGCTTGAAAGGATATTCAGAGGGCAACTGGATCCTTCCATGATATATTCCTCCCTCAAATTCCGTATCTTGGGGTCCCCTAATAGCAAATTGCCATTCGAATATATTTTCCTGAAAACAAAATTTGGGGCCTGAGTTCAGTCTACTTCTATTGGAATTCATAATACGATATCCAGGAAAAAAAAATCCAGTTCAGTGAAAAATCACTTGCTTCAACATAACAAACAAACAAAAAAAAATCGTTTCATTTTAAAATCTAGACTAGACACGCAGAAACAGCAAAATCAATCAGAAATGAATTACGGTTTTACATTTCCACACATGACAAGGAAAAGAGTATAAAAGTGTGATTCCTTTAACTATCAATAGATTAATAAAAACCAAACATGATACTCAAACCAAAAAAATTCAAAATTAGGTCAAAAATGAAATGTATAATTTCAAATTCCGTTACTCTCACCCAAAAAAACAAAAAAAAGCACATCGCAAATTCGCATCCATGGTCAAGATAATCAATAAAACCAGAGGAACAATAATAGATGACAATAAATGTTTCCAATGTCATTTTAGGGATTCCACTACATCTCGAAATCAAAATCCTAGTTCAAATAAACCAATTGAACAGGCAGTTTAGGAAATGTAATATGAAATTATTTTCAAAAATGATCAAAAAATAGTTTCCATAATAGACAATAATCTGAATAAATTATAAAAATAAAAACCATTAAATAGGTAGTTTAGGAAATGAAGTTGACAACATTCAAAATAAATCCACTCAAAAAAATTTCATAACAGATAATTAGCTAAATACAATTGTAAAAAATAAAATAAAACCTCGAGAGGTAGGCTCATGAAATCATCGGACGGATTCGAATGCATCTCTTTGACCTCCTGCAAAATCCTCTTCACCGCCGGGTTTTTCAGATTGTACTTATCCTCCGCCATTTTTTTAGATCCAATTCACAAGATTATTCCCACCGATAATGAGGAATAAAATGAAAATTATGGACAAATTATTTAGAAATCAAATGATTTTGGATAGAGAGGAGAGAGAGAGAGAGTTTGTGCGTGTATTGGTGAGATATTTTAAGAGGGTAAAAAAAAAAAAATGGAGGTCACCTAAGTTTGAGCGAAGTTTCATTTTAGTCCTTCAATTTTTTTTATTTCCACACTTGAAATTACGAGGACTCTTATCATCATAAGTTTGCTATGTTTGTTGGGCAATAAATAAGGATAACAAAACATTCCACTCCCAACCCAATGAATAAACATGGTAGGGTACACATCCCTAATTTTGATTTTCATTTTTTAAAAAAAGGACAGTAAGTGTATTTGATCCCATTTTTTTAAATAATAATTTTTTTAATAATTCTTTTTTGGAGAATATGTGATTAAAAAGTAGGGAAAAATTTTAGATTATGTATACAATTATTGTTTTAAAAGAATGTGTAATTAAAAATGATTTTTTTATAAAATGAAGCTCAAATAGGGCTAAAAGAAGATGATTTTTTGAAGCAACTCTCTATTAGTGACAAAATTGGGGTGGAAAGGGGTAGATGATACGTCAACTTTGCTGTCACTACGAGATTTCAATGGATGACATGGCATAGATTCGAGGTCGAATTATCTTCAACGCCAGGACAAAGAGTCAGTTTGACAAGACTAAGGGCAATATTGACAAAAAAGGAAAAATACGAGGATTAAATTGTCCGTCGAATAGTTCTCCATCATTCACCATTGTCTCGATTAAGAAACAAGACAAGGGTGTTCATTATTCGTGGTAGTTGCTACTGAATAAAGATATAGAATTTGAGTTTTCCAAATTCTTGCAATCCAATTCAAGTTTGTTGATCAAGTCAATTATGAGATTTTGATTTCACACAGTCCTTAAAATTCATTTGAATTAGCGAGTGCAGATTCGCGCATTCACAAGAAATTTTCATTCTTGCTTTTCATATATTACCGTCAAAGCATGTTTGGCTTAGATCGACGACATTACTTTTAAGTAAATAAAATAAGAAAGTTTTCAGAAAGGTAAATTATGTTTCAGCTTACACGGTCTTAGTCAAAACTATGGGGCGCCTAATGAACTTAAGACGTAAGCTTAGCTTATTCAATATAGTGTGTAATCATGTTCAACAACTAGTACCAAACATGTACTTAGATACTAATGAATAAAATTCTTGAATTCAAATTCTCATATTGCCTGGTTAAAAATTTTTCACTTGTCACGGCTCATTTTTCGTGTTTTATTTCCTAGTTTCTTCCTATAAGCAATGTATGCAGACAAATAAGATATTTTCTTGTCAATTTCATAGGAGATTTTGAGTTAATATTGGTATCAATTTGCCTCTTGGACTCCAGCAAGAAAGAGTTTTGCTAGCGTCGGCCCTGTCTCTCCGGGGGGCGCATGTGGTGCCCCTATTGGCTGGGCGTCCGTCTGCATAGACGTCATGCCAATAGAGGGTGCCACGCCCCATGTTCGTCCATGTGGCCATGGATGATTAGCAAAACTCATCAAGAAATTGAATATATCGTACACCTTGTTCCTGAGATAAATGTACTTACATAATGGATTAAGTCAACTCATGGTAAGAAACGTTCGAAAATAAAAACCATCAACGAGGGGATTTATAGTTATTATTGAACCACATTGTCTAAAAGTTTTAGTTACCAGAAAAATTTATATTTTGATTTAGTCGGGGTTATCTTTAAATCAAATGTACAATAAGAAAAATCTTCATAAATGGATGCCACTTGAAATCTTAGGTCTTCGCTTACATTCACCACCTTGTCTAAAAGTAAAAGTTTAAGCTATCAAATAGGAAATAAACTTATTTAGAGTGTGTTTGGTAGGGATTTTTGGGGAAAGAATTGATTTTTGAATAGTGATATGATGGGAAATGTGTGGTTGAAAAAGAAGAAAAAAGTATTGATGTGATGGAAAATATTATTTTATTGAAGAATGTGTGGTTGAAAATGAGAATTGATTTTGAATAGTGATATGATGGGAAATGTGTGGTTGAAAAAGAAGAAAAAAGTATTGATGTGATGGAAAATATTATTTTATTGAAAAATGTGTGGTTGAAAATGAGAATTGATTTACTATAGAAAATGAGAATCTGTACCAAACAGACTCTTAGTTCATTTTTGGTTCAGCTAAAAAGTTAGATTAAAATTTAACCGTACATTTAATGGAACCCATAGTTTTTCAATCACACATTCTATCAAATATATCAAAATCTATTAAAATTTTAATTTTAATCTAAACCAAAAAAAGGCTTATTTAATTCAACTAAAGATCTTTATTTCGTTTCATACAATATTAATTAATCCTTAATTTTTGTATTCATATTTCAAGTATAAGTAGAGAATATGATCTTGAATTGAGTAGCAGTAGAAGACAATTCCCTTAATCAAATTTTATGTTGTTCAACGAAATGATCCATGTTGAGCAAGTTGCTCTAACTGAAATGTCAAATGAGTCATTTTATATGGATTCATTCAGTTCTAATCATCAAATTGATCAAAAACTTCTGCAGATTGCAAATTTTGGAAGCTTAGACGATTTGTATCTTTACGTTGTTTCTCCACCATTTCAATCATTTCGCAATGAGATTATAAATCTTAGTGATAGTGCATCTCAAGATTCAGATCTAATCGAATCCAACAAGAAAAGGCCTTGTGTTTTCCCTTTAGCGTCGCTTGAGATTGTGAAGAAATAGGGAAGCAGGCTCAGAAGATTGAAAAGCGAGATAAATGTGCAATGCTATAGGAATAGCAGCCAAAAACTGTCAACTGAAACAATAATTCGGCTGGCAGCAGAAAAATTCATACAGTCGACTCTAAGTGGTTCTGAATTACGCATGCTTAGGCGTCCATATCCAAGTGCATTTTTGGACAAATCCAGTGAAGATTCTAGAGCAGTTGAACTTGTGCAGACTATGTTATCTTGTGTGGAGAAGGTAAGCGAGAAGCAGTATGGACGCGCGAGCAGGATTCTGCTCCAGTGAGACAAAAATCCCCTCGAGCATCTTAAAATTACAGCTGTTGGAACGAATTCAAGATCTATGATCAAGGAGACTGGTAGACATTTGAGTAGTTTTGCTCAATCCTTAAACATTCAGTTCTCGTTTAATGCACTCCTGGTATACGATATCCTAGATCTAAACGAAGAGCTCTTTGATTTGGATTAGGACAAAACAGTTGCAGTCTATGCTGCCTATTCTTTAGTGAATTGGATTGCACGGCCAGATTGTCTGAAGAAGTTGATGGGATTGATCAGAGACCTCAATCCTTGTGTTGTGATTGTGTGAAGTTAAAACACCGTTTAATCAAGGAGACTGGTAGACATTTGAGTAGTTTTGCTCAATCCTTAAACATTCAGTTCTCGTTTAATGCACTCCTGGTATACGATATCCTAGATCTAAACGAAGAGCTCTTTGATTTGGATTAGGATAAAACAGTTGCAGTCTATGCTGCCTATTCTTTAGTGAATTGGATTGCACGGCCAGATTGTCTGAAGAAGTTGATGGGATTGATCAGAGACCTCAATCCTTGTGATATGATTGTTAGTGAAGTCGAGGCAAATTGTAACACTCCGATTTTCGTGGATTGTTTTGTTGAAGCTCTCTTTTTTACGGTGCATTTTTCCATTCATTGGCAGATTGTCTGAAGGATGATGAAAAAAACGGAAGGGATGCTGAATCAACGAGTTTTAGCTCGGCAATAAGGAACATTGTGGCTATGGAGGGGGACGAAAGGAAGATCAGACACGAGTATTGATGTCTGGAGGGCTTACTTTTTGCACTTCGGATTTGTCGAGGTAGAACTGAGCATGTCGCCTTTATGTCAATCGAATCTCCTGCTCAAGAATTTCCCGTGTGGGGGGATTCATGCACATTGGATATGAATGGTAAAAGCATGATCATTAGCTGGAGGGGCTCACCGTTGAGTTCACTTTCTGCATGGAAATTCGAATAAGATGAAGCTAAAATGCTATGTTTTGGTCTCCGTGTAAGAGCATGTTTGATTCGCAATAGTGGACTATGCTATCAAGTTAGCAAATAAAATTTTAACTGATTTTTCTCCATTAATCATATACGTTGTGTTCTAATTCAACATAAAACATGCCATAAATGATTAAAATTACGATTCTGAAACATAAAACAACCGTGCTACATTGCCAATGGATTTTGCTAGGATTTTGTACAGATACACACTTGACAGATTTTCATTGGCAGTTGAAAAAAATAATTTTGTACATATACACACTTGACAAATTTTCATTGGCAGTTGAAAGAAAAAACTGCCAATCGAGGCTGCCATTTCAACCCCCGTCCCTCGTACAGAGGGCTTATTCCTACTCAAAATATTTACTTCAAAATATGTTTAAAATGTATTAATTTTTTTCACTTACAAATAAAATTTAATTGTTTAGACAGTGGAGTAAAAATTACTTTCACAATAAATGTAAGTTAATTATTTTCAATTTTAGCAAACAAAAATAATATTCAATATCAAACTTGCTTATTTACTTGTAGTTGCATGAACAATCCTTAACAACATAAATCGCCCATATCTTCCTAAATTGTTACGTCAATCCCACGGAAACACGTCCCTCTTTAAATTTTGGGAAACCAGCCGAGAAAGTTGTCAAAAGTATCTACTTAGGGTGCGTTTGATTGTAAGGGTGGAAAGAAAATGTTTTATAGGGAAAATGATTTCAAGTGTGTTTGATTGGTATAATTTTCTACCCGAAAAATTTTTAAATTTTCTTGGAAAATCCGGAAAATATTTTCAGTTGAAAATTTCACCTATCAAACAATCAAAAAAGTGAAAAGTGGAAAATATTTTCCCACTTCCCGGACAATGTGGCCATCAAACACAGCTTTAGTGAAATAATGAAATCTGCCCTGTGAGGGCTGCAATACTTTATTACTATATTCTGGAGAAATATTCTTGTAAACCCTAAAAAATGTACCTACAAAACTTCAAAATGTCAGTTTCATTGCATTGGCTTCTTCTCCATTCTCCCCATTTGTCTTTTTTATGTGTCATTTTCTATCCACACTTATCTAACTCGAATTTTCTGTTATTGCCTTTTTTATTACATCAACAAATTCTTCTGCTTTCTTTGAATACTATATTGATTTTTTATTTTAGTATTACTGTAACTTATTTACTTCAAATAAAAAAGGTAACTTAGGTTGTTTGGAAATCAAATGTTTCTTAAACGTAGGTTTTTTAATTATATTTAAGAGCTTGAATAATGCTACTTCGATAGAAAAATGTGACATGATCCTTGATGTAAAATGTGCCTGCATGCTTATAAACTTACTTGAAAACACCAAAATGAGGTTAAATCACTTGCATTTTGATTGTTTGCTTTTTACACCGGCTTGTACCCATTTACTGGTCAAAAACTCTATCACCAAGGAAGGAGTTTGATGTTCATAATCCAAGAACACAATTTGAGATATTATACTTCCAAAATCAAGTCACCACCTTCATGTATTTTTCTCTCTTTTGTATAATCTGAATTGCATTGTTCTCTTTTTTATTTTTATTTTTTGTGATAGAGTGGGTGGTTATAGAAGTTAGATGTGGTGGGGAGTTATGGTTTCAATTAAAAAAAAAAAAAAAGCTCAACTCCCTCAACTTCTTCTTCCCAACTATTCACATGCAATCCGGGTCACGTTAGCCCACATGGAAGACCTGTTTTCTTCCGACACTAGACATAATGTGTGTTGACAAAATATGATTAGATAAAAAAATTGACTGTGTTTTAAATAATCCAATGATAGAATGTCACGTGGCATTATGTCAAGGTTATGTCTTCTTCACTAGTCAAAAGATTGTGTGTTAATAAATAATTTTCATCTCTCTTTCTCTCGCTGTTAAAACCTTCCAAACTTGTTTGAGTCTCATTTTTTTATGTGTAGTTAAAAAATAAAGAAAGGTTTTAGATTTTCGTATAATATTATTTTATTGAAAAATGTGTGATTGAAAATTGTTGGAATTGGTTAAGAATTAAATCATAAAAAAGTGACTTTCGTGTCAACTTCGATCAAATAATCGAATTTGATTCGATAGTCAAATTATGAAAATAAATAGACTAACTTGTTCTACTCGTCGAGTAGATCTTCGTGGTATATTTGGAATATCCAAACCAATTTCGGGTGAATGAGAAATTACGGTCTAAAGTTTGAAGAAAATAGGGGAAACTGGCTGGAAATTTGTCCAACTCCGTCGCTCACCTAGTGCTCAAGCGAGAGTCTATGTTTCTGACGCTCGAATGACACAAGGGCAACGGCAAAAACTGCAACCCTTAGCAAATGTTGCTGAGTTTATGGCGCGACACTTTACTCACGACATTTCCTCCTCTATAAATTAGACTCATGGGACATCCATTTGTTCATTCCAATGATATGCAATCATAGCATAACATTAAATTCATTTTTTCCTAACCAAAATTTTGCATAAAAAGCTATTTTTCCATTTTTCGTAAGGAGTACAAAAACCAATATTTTGTTGTTGGTCTTGTGTTTTGAAGTGCTACTAACACAAGAAGATTGTTGTTATATCTTGGGAGTCAATTGCCATTATCCATAGACATCGATGCGGAGCAAATTTGATTTAAGGACAAAGAGTTCAACTCTTGCCTCGACTTTACATACATTTTTTTTGGCGTTGCTTTGACATTCTTTTCATTTGGTTCAATTATATCCTTACCGTTAATTTGTCCAATTTTTGTTAAGGTTAGTAAGTTGATTTTTTGGTTTAAAGTCATTACTTGAATCCATCATCCTTTTCAATAAAAATAAGAGAGAGAAAAATGTATTTTGAAAAGAATGGGGATCAAACAATGAGTTGGTCATTCGGTGTGGTATAACTTAAAAACAATTCAATGTTTTTGGCATGTTTTGTAGTTTAAGCTTATTGGTTATACTCTAAATTGCACGGAAACGAGAAACAAAACGCGACATGTCTCATGGAAATACTACTTAATATTAATTCAAACTCTAATAACTTGTTATCTTTATTTTAGTACAAGTAAAGCACAAAATTATGTAAATTTATAGCTGATGTCCGTAATTAAGTTAATTCTCAGCCCACAAAAAGTCCATAAGAATGTGCAATCCTTAATCTAAGTTAAATATCAGGTCAGAATATTTAGAGCAAAAACTTCCTTAAATTTTCGCAAGGTTTTCGAATTTTATTAAAAACAAGAAACTTTTTTGGAGTTTCTGAAAGGTTTACTAGAGTTTTTAAATTTTTGAAACGTGACCACAATGAAAACGCTAGCGTCTTTGAAGTTTCTGTGCAACTTAGGACCTATACTATCAAATCTCCCTACCACTCAATTAAAAATTTCCTCTTGTCATGAGTCATTGGATAATACAAAGTTTATGTTTTATTTTTTAGTTTCTTCCTGTAAGCAATGCAATCAGACAAATAAGGAGTTTTCATGGCAATTTCCTAGGTGATTCTTGATAAAATGTTGTTATCAGTTAGCCTGTTGTCCTCCAGTGAGCATTTGGATTCCAATTCCTGTTTCTGCTGTTAACAACACAAGACAAGACTAGGTATAAAAATTGTAATAGAGAATCTGAAACCATAGGCTGAATTGAATATATTGAACAAATCGGCCCGAAATAGTTGTATTACCTGATGGAATGCGTCCACTCATTGTAAGCAATGTTGGAAAATTGCCTTATCAAGAGGACGTTGCTATCTCTATTTTATAATGGATTTTGCTACTTGTATCTTCAAGACACCCCTTAGATGCAGGTTGATTAATTTTAAATGAAAGGTGTGACAAGTAAAATCTTCATAAATGGATGACGACGAAGACTTGAACTGTATACCTTTATCTTCATTTGATACAATATGAAACCATTGATTCTTTTATTTATATTATATATTATTAATAATCATGTCATGAAAAATTTGCTATTTATAGCATTAGTATAAAACATGCTCTTGAGAATTGAGTAGTAGTAATAGAAAACAATTTGCTGAGTCAAATTTAAAGATGAATGAAAATTTCCCCACTGAACAACTTGCTCTAATGGAGATTTCAGATGAGTATATTTTATCAAAGAGTTCTGAGAATATGGAAAGTCAGAGTTTAAGAAAACAAAATGGTTTCAATTTAGATGAAGTTTGGGGAGATTCACCATATATGGATTCATTCACTTCTGATTATCAAATTGAGCAAAAACTGCAGCAGTTTGTAGATTTTGGAAGATTAGACGATCAGTATCTCGACATTGGTTCTCAACCATTTCAATCATTCAACGATGAGATTATGAATCTTGTTGATACTGCATTTCAAGATTCTGAGCCTAGTGAATCCGAGAACAAAAGGCCCCGTGTTCTTCGTCCAACGTCGCTTGAGATTCTGCAGAAATATGGAAGCAGGCTCAAAAGCTTTAATCATGAGGAGAAAAA